CGACGGAAACCGCTTTCCAGACGTCAAACCAGTCTTCGGACACATAAGCAATCTGTTAGAGGGAACCAAAGAGAACAAAAAGTTTGACCAGTTTTGGCTCTACAACAACCACGAGGTGAGGAAATTGGAGGCAAACAGTTTCGCGGACCTGACGTTCACTGCGATCAAGATCAAGAACTGCACTAAACTGATCCGAATCGACCCGAACGCGTTCAACGGCACTCAGCACTCCATCGTCAAAGTGCACATCGACTTGATCTCAATCAGTGGTCCGAAAAACATTGAGGACTTCTTCGAGGCGTTGAATGGTTTGTCGAAATTGGAGGAATTGGAACTATTGAACCACAATATCATTACGATTCCGCCGTTCGCTTTCAGACAACCGCTTCTCAACAAACTGGAACTCGACGGCCCGCTCGACGTCATCAAAAACAACGCTTTCTTTGATTTAGTGAGTTTGAGAATTTTGAAACTTCATAAGTCTGTTAAACACATCCCAAAGCATTCTTTCGACTTCAAAACTCTGACCAACAAAACACTAGACATTTATTTCGATATCAAGTTCAATACGATTGAAAGCGGAATCTTCTCACAAGTGTTGCGGCCAATCACTCTCAACCTATATCTGAGGAAATTGTTTGATTTTAGCGAAAGTGTGTTCAAAGCTATACTCATGTCCGATAACAAACACGACATCACATTTCACGGAGAGCTTAAAGAGATGAACAACAAATGCATTCTGAGTTGGCTTTTCGCAGAGACGGCCACTTTTAAGGGCAGATTCAGCTTTAAAAACGATCCCATGATAGGCTTTGATAGTTTCCACGATTGTTCCTTAGATAACAACAGCATTAACGACTCTCAGGTCAACTCCAGCGTCAGTTCCCAACAACCCATTAACTCGATTCCCTATTCGAAATTCATTGACAAATACCTCATTCTGTTTGTCGGCTCATTGTATTTGAATCTCTTGATCTGAAAGATAGAAAAGCTATGTTTTGCGTGATCTTTATGTTTGACACAAATAGCTTTCAAACGCCAGTCCATCATAACTACCAAATGTTCAAACATAGCGTTTATCACATAATAGACACACGTTTCAGTTCCTCAACAATATTCAGTCCAATTTATTATTGATTTTCAGTTAATTTCCAATTAAGTTCTTATGTTCTTTGAATTCAAGTACAATAATAGTGTTGTTGTATAAAAGTTAGGAACAATAACCGAATAATTGTATATAAAATATATTTTGAATCATAATTCTTGTTAATGTTAATGTCTTCGAGTAAACCAACAAATAAAGAGACACTCCATTGACTCTCCCGAGAGTACAGGGCTTTTGGAAACACTGCTCAGAGACCAAGATTTGCATTTATTGAGACAATAATTGTTCATATTTTCACTCAATTACAAATACAAATGTTAAATACAGTCTAAAAGTGTTATATTTTTATGTATAAGAGAGGTGTCAATGGAGTTGTCGTTTTGACCAAAAATTGTTAACATTTATAAAAATAATAGTTTAAACTGTAGTGAAAATACAATCTTTAACTGCCATTTAGATGATATGCAAAGTGTTTGGATAAAGAGTTCTCGAAATGTCAGAACTGTTTTCGGTTTACAAAGAAGTTGTGATGAAATTGAAAAAATATTGGTTACAAAATAAATACAATATTAAAGTACTGTTGATATTATATATGAAGAAATGTTTATAGAAATAAAACACAGAATATTGTAAATACACATTGAGTTGAGAAAAACATAATGTTTTTTCGTTTCAAAGTTTTGAAATTCAAATTTAAATTAGCATAAAATACAACCAAATGTCCAATAATTTAATTCTCAATTTTTGTTTCAAAATTAAACTGTATTTGAGTTCTAATGAAATAAATAAAAAGTTTAACACATATTTCCATCGCTTCTAATGATTCCCGATATCGAGAGTTAATTATTTCCGCACTTCATATCAAACATTTCACAACAAGGTTTGGATTTCCGTTTTGGCACTCAATACCAATGCAAACGACATGTAATTAATTTCTGCGCTTAATATCAACACAAATCACTGTTTGTAATAAAATATATTAATTGTTTTCAAACAAATATTATTTTTAATAATGACTACATATTTCTGGTGAGTCTTTTGTCAATACTTTTCTCATCTGTAATTCATTTGATAATAAATGAGTTTAATATAAGTTGGGTGTTGTTTGACTCGCTTTTAGATCTAATCTTAAAATGTCAGAACTGTTTTCGGTTTACAAAGAAGTTGTGATGAAATTGAAAAAATATTGGTTACAAAATAAATACAATATTAAAGTACTGTTGATATTATATATGAAGAAATGTTTATAGAAATAAAAACACAGAATATTGTAAATACACATTGAGTTGAGAAAAACATAATGTTTTTTCGTTTCAAAGTTTTGAAATTCAAATTTAAATTAGCATAAAATACAACCAAATGTCCAATAATTTAAAAAATTCTCAATTTTTGTTTCAAAATTAAACTGTATTTGAGTTCTAATGAAATAAATAAAAAGTTTAACACATAATTCCAGCGCTTGTAATGATTCCCGATATCGAGAGTTAATTATTTCCGCACTTCATATCAAACATTTCACAACAAGGTTTGAATTTCCGTTTTGGCACTCAATACCAATGCAACCGACATGTAATTAATTTCTGCGCTTAATATCAACACAAATCACTGTTTGTAATAAAATGTATTAATTGTTTTCAAACAAATATTGTTTTTAATAATGACTACATATTTCTGGTGAGTCTTTTGTCAATACTTTTCTCATCTGTAATTCATTTGATAATAAATGAGTTTAATATAAGTTGGGTGTTGTTTGACTCGCTTTTAGATCTAATCTTCGTTTCTTATTATAATNTTTTTAATAATGACTACATATTTCTGGTGAGTCTTTTGTCAATACTTTTCTCATCTGTAATTCATTTGATAATAAATGAGTTTAATATAAGTTGGGTGTTGTTTGACTCGCTTTTAGATCTAATCTTCGTTTCTTATTATAATATTTATAATACAAAAACGAAAATCTAATGGAATTTTGAATTTTTTATTTTGCATAAAAGTCGACAGAATATTCAGATATTGAGTACGAAATGAATGGACATTATCTTTGCTAATTTTCTAGTATTTTAAAAGTAATGAAAAGCAAAATTTTTTGCTTTATTTTAAATTTATTAACTTACGAAATTTGTATTCTTAAAAGTATGTTTTGTGTAAATATTGCTTTTTATCAGGTAAGAAATGATGATTTAAGACTTTGTGTCAAATATTGATCTAAAAGTGTTTCTCTGAAACAATTTCTTGTTATTAATTAATAATAATCTCTAATTATTGTGCTTTTCTTTAGGCTAACAATATATTCTTCACATTAGCAGATAATTTATGGCTTATATTAAAAACTCGTTCAATGTTTAAATAATTTTGAAATAAATGTCAGAAAATCAATAATAATTGTTGTTTTCGTTTCGTATTTAACTTTCAAGAATCAAATCTAGAAATACAGACCAAATGGATTTGAATATTGAGTCAATACAACATTATTATATGAATAACAATCGGTTTACTTCTCTTCTACTCATATATTGACAAATTATTGTGTTTTAATGACTTCTGATATGATAATAGTTAAGTCCTTATTATTTATTTATATAATATGTAAATACGGTAACAATAATACTAATTCTGAATTAATATCAAGAATAATTCTTTTATCTATAATTTAATGTCATTTTTAGAAATAACAAACTATAATAGTATTGATTGGATTTGCTTTAACACATGTATCAATTGAATTGTTCAAAGAAAACAATATATAAAATGATAAATTGGTTTAAAGAGAACTAAACGTTCAATTATTTAACAACAAAACGTCAAAACATTTCAATTCTGTAAATATTTTATTGATTTTATTTATTAAAAAGCATTCTTCAAAGTGATGTCTAACTTATTTAAATGAATTGCAATTAAGGCTCACAATTAAACAACAGTTTTGTTTAATTAAGCGCATAAAATATGTTAAGACGTGTATTGTTTTGTATAATTGAAACATTAAATTCAATTAAGTCAAGTGATCTGACAATTGAAATCAACATCAATTGTGTGATTCCGTCAAAGCTCTCTATAGAGTCTATAGTATTTCTATACGGTTTCAGAACACAAACTATAATTGTAGGCATAGATTGTGGCAACTGTTTAATTGGCCCTCGATCATTGCTCTAGACTTCTGATGGTCAATTGTTTGGTCGGTTTCACTTATATTTTGTCATATCACATCCTATGACAGCAACATGAAATATAAAATTTTATATTTCATAAAATTAACAACACTAGCTATTTAATTTCGACAATTAAAATTGAACTGTTTATTTTTTTATCTATTGGTGTAAAGTCATCAATTAGATTACACATTACATTGACTTTTATTCTTTGAATCATTCTTAGCCGTAGAGTCTAATGTTAAAACTCATTCATTGTATTGCATAGCATCTGATATGAAAATCATAAAAAAAAAGTTTATTTCATGCGTTGATTCAATGCTTAAAAATGTTATGATTTTTAACATTAGACTCTACGGCTAAGAATGATTCAAAAAAATTACAATTCATACGACAAAACCTTTTGTCAAATATTGACTATAATTTGTACATTTAATAAACTATATTCAGAATGTCATTAAATGGCTTTTTATTTATGAAGAAAACTTGGAAAACGCATTACATTTTATCATGTACATTTTGGTATTGTATCTTTTGAGTAATAATGACTTCTCGTAGATATACAGTATAATGAAAATAATTATATAAATCGTTGATGTATTTGAAAACTCTTTTTAGTTACATTTTGATAACTTTAGATTTAACTTAAATTTAGTGAAAAATGAAGAAAAACGTAAATCATTAGTAAATAATTGGCAAATGTTTATAAAAAAATTGAAACGTTTTTATTATAGTTATTAAATACAATTAAACGTCAATTGTGATGAGATTGTGATTACAAGAAGTGATCAATTAGCGCTTCCCCTTTGGATCTGTTGCTTAAGCATAAGAATGCTATCCCTTTGTTCCGATGGCAACATTGCTATTTGATGATCAGAGAGGGCCAACACTTGCATAATAAGCTGTGCCTTTTCCTGTTCCTGATTCACACTCATCGGACCACTCGATTGAGTCAACAATTGGATGTTAGGGCCGGCAAAGGGTTGCCCTCCGGCGCCCCGATTCATACCAATTGGTGGATTGCCGGCCACTCCGCGAACGTTTTGTTGCGGCATTTGGGACTGAATTCTGGGATCTATTGGTCGAGTTCTGGGGTCTAAATTCTGCGGCGGAACCGCGGGAGCCATTTGTGCCGATTGGCCGGCGAAACGATCAAACGATGGCCCGTCTCTGAGACGGGGGTCGTGTCGCGGATCATGCATTCGGTTATCGAAGGGTTGTTGTTGTTGTTGAGGCATAAGGGGTGGCAGAGGACCCGGTCGTTGTTGAGGCGGGTATTGGTCTCTCGGCTCAAAGATGGGTTGCTGTGGAGGAATGATCTGCTGAATGGGCGCCGCGTGCGGCACAAGTGGTTGCGGTTGATTAGTGTTGGGTCTGTGGAGTATAGAGACGGCCACCTGTGCGTCCACTACACGCATCACAACCAACGCCTGCAGCAACGCGTAGGCCAACTGCGGGTTCTGTATCAACATATTTCTCGCTTCAGATGGATTCGTTTGAATGCATTGCTTCATCTGTTTGGCCAACTCATACATCTGTTCCGGTGGAAGACTGGCCACCGCTTTGCTGATGGCTTCGGGCGCCTTCTCGGGATCCACTTCCGGCCCGTAAGGGCTCTCATACGCCGTCCCACTCAACGAGATCTGCAGATTTCGCATCTCTTCTTTGAGGCGTTCATTCGTCGCGTTATCCACTCGAAGGTTACGTCCGTTGAGTTCGTATTGGTTGAGATTCCTCATCGCCGAGAGAGCCGTCTCTTGATCTTTGTATTCGCAAAACCCATAGCCCTTTGGTTTCCCCGACTCTCTGTCGTAAACCAATTTGAAGCTCAAAACGGGTCCCACTTCTGAGAAGATATCCTTCAACTTCTCTTCCGTCGCGTCGTAAGGAATGTTACCAACTATTGGGTCAATACAAGTAATTAGTGACAACACTTCCAACACTCGCACAACACTTACCAAACACTGAACGCAACGACCGATCAGTTGTCGATGTGTTGGCATTGGCTGTCATTTCCCACTCTTTGATCCGCTCTTTAAACCAAATTTAATCTTCACTTCAATACAAATGGCAAACAATAACACAATTCTCTCAAAACGTTTACAAAATATAATCACATTATTTATGAACGAAATCATCCGTAGAGTTAACACATGTCTTCCATGTATTTAAATATTGTAACAGTTTTCCTGATTTGTCATTAATTACAAGACATTAACTTCAAGATTATTAGGAGTTGACAAATATAATCATTTATTTAATCATCATCAATTTTAATTGTCCAAACAGTATAAACATGGAACAAATTAATGATTTAATAATCAAAGTGTGATAAGACTGTTGGCATTCTCTACATAAGGTCTCAAACAATGAACGTCTACTAAATGAAGTAAAATATACTTTTGTTTGCAATGGTTTTCATTCATACCGTTGTTAACCACTGTTTCTCTTCGTGATTATCACTTGAATGGATGTATTGGACGATAGTTTGGACGACATGTTGGCCGCCATTAATGTCTCTCAATTGGATCCGATTGCGAAGAAGCGGAAGAGTAGAAAAGTGAGGTCTTGTGGAACGCAAACCGCTATCACTTGGAGAACGGTTCCCAAGAGACGGGTTGCGAAGAAAAGCCCAAAACACGGCCACAAACCATGTCTTCATCGCAATAACACACCAACCGATGGACACAAGAAGTGGAGATCAAGTGATGACCGAAACAATCATACGATTCCTATGGACTCTAACAATGAGAATGAAATGCAATCCAAATGTGAATCATTCGGTGAATTGGAAACGCTTTCAAACAATTGGTGCCAAATCTCAGTCCAAAGACAAGCATTACTTCCTTTGAGTGATAATTAAGGGAACAAACGAATCGCTTCTTCGCATCGAATGGGAACCACGACTTCGGACTAAACTCTTCGCACTTTTCTATTGAAGCATATTTTTGACAATATTTGTTAACTCGTGTTAAATGACTATTAGATGAATAGATATCAAAAGACTGTATTTATTAAATCAATTCAAAGTTATTTAAATATGTTTTGAATGATATATTTTTTAATGAAATTATATTTATTGTGATATACTTTTATACTGTAATTGAATAATGAATTAGTAATGTCTTAATGAATGCATTTATGTTGATATGGAGTATTGATTGGGAATTAGCAGCAAATGTGTGGTTAATATGATATTTGGATCAATTGAGTGACAATTGAATGTGAATTACGTTTGGAGTGATTTGAATGAACGCTACGTTTGAAAGCATTGCGTGTTTTGATAAGCTTTGAAAAGCGCGCCATTGGTTGGCGATCGGCAGTGAAGGGCAGTGACAGCCAATGGGAGGGGTTATGGAGTGTTGGGGTGGAAGGCATTGGAAGGCATTGGAAACCATTGCTGTATTCCTGTATACGTATCAGTGGTTAGTGTTTGAGTGGATTGAGTGCTGTTTGGAAGGCATTGTAGGCTTTGAGGGTTTGGAACGTCGAAAGCGTTGAAAGCATTGCTCGCATAGAAAGCATAGGAAGTGTTCGAACACTCGTTTGTAATCCACGTGTCATTCATTGCAGACATATTTACTCTCAGTTTTCTCACAATTTAATTAATTTACTAATTAATTGGTATTTGTCTTGAAGTGGTGTTAACGAAGAAGTGATGTCAGACTCTGCTGTAGAAAAGGTATGAATTGATTATCAATAGAAATATTGAGCGAAAAATGGCATAAATACTAATAAAACGTATTTTTCTAATGATATCTCACTTAAAATGAAGTCTTGATTAAGACTTGAAATGAATTGTGAAATGAATTTTAAAATGAATTACTTTTCGCCAATCAATGCAAGACTGAGTCCAGAAGACGGGACTCCGGTTCCGATTCGGGCGAAGACTCCAAGAACTGGCGCTCACGTAATGGCGACCAAAGAGGCGGTTATGGCAGCCGTAATGGCTATTCAGGCGGCGGTGGCGGCCGTTATGGGAACCGATCGTTCGGTGGCAGCAATAGAGGTCAGAATTGCTACAACTGTGGCCAAAGCGGACACATAAGCCGTGAGTGCGACCAACCGAAGCGAGAACGCGGCGGCGATTCGCGTAAATGCTATAACTGTGGCTCTGAGGGACACCTGAGTCGCGACTGCACCGAACCCAAGAAGGAGAGGTCGTTCGGCGGCAGCAGCGGTGGTGGCGCTGAACGCGGTGGTGGTGGCAGTGGAAGCGGTGGCGGCAAGAGTTGCTACAACTGTGGCTCAGAGTCGCATCTGAGTCGGGACTGCTCTGAACCGCGCAAAGAGAGACCAAAGACTTGCTTCAACTGCAACGAAGTCGGCCACATCTCCGCCGACTGTCCCAATGAGCGTCGGGAGCGTCGGTCCAACTATGGCCGCAACAACAGGTACTAAACCCGTAACCCGTTGTCACACATTTGACTTTGAGGACACTTTTGGACTTTTCTGCTTTTTGTCATTTGATTAATGAATTTGTGTTTTGTTTTAATAATTATTATAAAAATTATCGTTTATTTGAAGTAAAGAGAAATTTTACAGTTTTTAGAGTCGAAAATATAATAACATTTATTGATATTTAATGTATAATTAATGTTAAGTATTGCCGCCGAAGATCTGTTAAATGACACAAACATAAAAATGTTTTATTAATACAATTGTTTAAATTATATCAATATTTCAATATTCCTTTGCGTTTTTTGTTTCACTTTTAATACTATTTAAATGTACTCTTATTTGTGTTAATTCACACTAAAAGTCATTATTTTTTCAATCGGTTGTCATTTGTATATCGAAATAACATATTTTAAACACAAATTTGTAATAAAATAAATGCATTTTATATATGAAGTAGAATTTAAGACATAATTTGTGCCTAAATTACAAGATATATCCTCTTTTTGTTTATGAATTGATTTGAATTAAAATTAAAAGTTTTTGTCCGAAAAGATCTACAAAACGGTTTTCAATTGTGGTTTTAAAATATGTTTTATCAACAAATAAACGTTCATTGAATATAGAAATGCTTTTCTTGCAAAAGTCAATTGCATGCAAATGTGAATCTCAAGTTTGACCCAACGGTGAACTAAATATAATGAGATTTATTTATAGTGCACTTCATATTAGAAATCCATTTGAGGTCATTGTGTAATAAAATGGTGAAGAGTTGTCCAAAAGGGTTTCCGTCGATTCCATCTTCACGTGTGTACCGAAGAAACACAATTTGCGTTTACGTTATTGTCTAACATTACTATTACTGTTAATTATTTGTCAAGAATTCAACACATGTTTCAGTTTTATTATATTTTGCAGTAATTACTGAATCATAGTCTCGATTATTAGAGAAGCATTTTAATGAGGTTTAAATAAAAACAAAATCAAAAGTATTAGTAGTGGTTATTATGTAATTGAATTGAGCATTAAGTTCAATGACTTGAATATATGGATGCAATTTATGGCTCAACAACTCATTCAAAGGTTGGCACACATTGTGTTCTCTACAGGTATTTCTTTAGTTATAAGAAGACATACCTGTATTTTATCACAATATAACAAAATGACTTGAATATATGGATGCAATTTATGGCTCAACAACTCATTCAAAGGTTGGCACACATTGTGTTCTCTACAGGTATTTCTTTAGTTATAAGAAGACATACCTGTATTTTATCACAATATAACAAAACAGTATATATTTATCTGCCATTCAATGAGAAAACTATTTGTTTAGACATTCAATAATTTTTAAATTGAATGAATTGAAGTAATAAGTGATTTTCAAATATACAACCTTTCAATTCACTATTATTTCTGACCTCAAATATGTATTCAATTAAACCAAAAATGTTTCTCTATTAAAGAAATACTATATTCTTGTATATCTTCATATCATTTGACAATATTTACTCATCTATTGTGTGATAATTAAAAATTATTATTACCAAGATCAATCAATAATCACAGAATATTTGAATTGAGACATACTTTACATATGATTTAACGACAATTTATTGAATTTGTAGATATCAATAAGTTGTCAACTGAATTGATTAACAGCACATTTGTTTCACTTTTTAAATGCAATCATTTTCTAGATTATCAGTCTTTTCTCGATTAACTTTTAAATCAGCATTTCTTATAACAAATTATCGACAATTAATGAGAAATATTTGTGCAAAATGTTCTAAACCCAAAAACTAACTCTTTTATAAATAAAAATGTGTAAAATTACAAAATAATTATTGTTAAGTTAATTTTCATATTTTATTAAGTTTTGTTAAACTCTATTAATAGGTATTTAATACCAAACCTAATTACCGGCAATTAAATCATCACTAAATCCATTCGTTTGACAATTTAATCAATTAAATAAAATATAACATTTCCTAAAAGTATAACATTGATTGAGATTTAAAAAGTAATAATAATTTAGTCTATAAATTGAATAGTTTTCTAACAAAATAGCATTAAATTAAATAAATTGTGAGATTAAAGAGAGAGTCAAGCGTTGTCTTGAGGGGTGAGGTATTGATGGTTAATGAGCCGCAATCCCTGCACCACTTGTGCGCATTCGTTCGTCAAGTGACACGAAAATAATAATAAATTCCTCGGCTTTACTCGTATAGCAAACCGCATGAATAGTAAGGAATAGACACAAAGGGCTGCAATCAATACAAATCACAATTTAGATGTCAATTACATGTAATCGCATATCAAGTGTTGTCAGCATTCAAACCGATTGTCATTTTGCCGCTTATAAAAGAGGGGTCTTTCTTGATGTCGGCGATTGCGGCCAAAGGTATTCCCCAATTGGCCACTGATTCGCCATTTTGTTCGTCAAATAAAACAATAATTAGTTAATCAGTAAATCAATGCATACACGGATCGACTCAATCACATACCGGGACCCCAGAAATGCTATCAACAAATACAAAGACATATCAATTAATCCATCGCTCAATACATGGCAGACATTACAAGACTTACAGTACTGTTTGCGGCGAAGAGAATCGCAATTCAATTAATGGATGAGGAAATGGACAACAATTAGAGAAATGGTTAAAACATATGAATAAATGGTATACACTATAAAGTGTAGAGTATTAGTGAATCATTGAATACCTGCATAAATATTGTCGAAATTCTTTGCTTTTAAGCGATTGAATCGCTTTATTAATCAATTGTCCCGACATTTAGATTCACTTTAATTGCAATTTATATTCGCTTTGAATTCAGTTTCAAAACCGATTCAATGAAACAAATATTGGTTTTCACCAAAAATATCCTCAATTATAGCCATAAATAACGACATTATTGTTGCCAACAATGAGAGCCCTTTTGAGTTGCGATCCATTTGTTTGAACGCAATGTCTGTGCAATCGATGCAAACGTATTGTGTGTTTGCGTTCGCATTAAGTGAAGCGGTTTTGGTTGCGCTCAGAATGCGATCATTGAAATGGTTTGTCCTTCACTTCAATTCCTGATTATCACTGATATTAACATTAATTACACTATTTTTGACAAATATATTGCATATTAAGCTAATTATAGGTATAATGATGTAGAGGTAAGCATGATCATTTTACTCGAATCACTATTATCGCACCATAACTGTAATATAACTGTAACATGGTCATATTATTGTTAAATACAAGTCATAGTAAACCAGAATTGCAAGAATTTGTTGCATGTTTTGTACGTTAAGTAATATTATATTTAATGACAATTAGTTATAGAATTTATTGCAAATACATTACAAAACACATTGACTTAACATAAGAATAATGAGACAATTTTTAAGAATAAGTTTATATTGGATTACATAATAACTAATGGACTGTTTATGGATAGNAATACATTACAAAACACATTGACTTAACATAAGAATAATGAGACAATTTTTAAGAATAAGTTTATATTGGATTACATAATAACTAATGGACTGTTTATGGATAGGAAATACTGTTTATGGATAGGAAATACTGTTTATGGATAGGAAATACTGTTTATGGATAGGAAATACTGTTTATGGATAGGAATAATAACTGTTACTTGAAATCTAGTGTTGAATCAAAACTTTGACCACTCCTTCGGTACCGCTTTTCAACAGATCAAAGGCTTTGACGGA